AAGTAACACTGTTGACCCCCTACAAGGTAACACAAGCCACAGGGGCATGAGAACTGGAAGAGTGGAAATGTGTGAAATAAATTATTTGTATCCCCAAAGTTCACCATCAACAAAAAACCATACCTGGGGAGTAGCTGTGCCTCCACCCCCTCGTCTGACCCCAGGGATCTCTCAATAACCCACCCAAATCCGGGTGGAAGTTGGTTTACACAGCCTGCCCCTACCAATGTTTTGAGTTTCCATTTACTGCAACTGATAATATTCACTCTCTTTAAAAGTGTTGGTAGAATGACAGTGCTTCCTGTGCAGAGAAAATGTGATTTCCAAGTCAAACTCCTGGGACTTAAGATAGCCAGGCTGATGGCAGTGGTTTGTACGCTGCCAAGTTCCAAAGAGGCCAAGGGCACGTGCAAAATCTGAATAGTTGGGGACATTCTGGATAGCTCTGGAAAAAAGCAAAATGAGGCTGTATTTTGGGGTGATGATAGACTCCACTTTCAACATGAATATATGACATTTTGGCTTCTTTCTGTACAAGTCACACTAATGATAAATCTGCAAAGGACATTTCTTGGCTCAAGTTGAGGTGGGAAGCCCCATGAAAAGACAGGCAGGACCCACAGGCAAGGCTACTACTTTCCTGCCAGTGCCATCTGGTTCCCTGGCCTGGCGGCATTATCTCACTTTTTGCTTCTGCAAAACGGCTTGCTTCTAGGAAAGCTGAACTTACCCCTAAGAATCTATTGGTTCCCTGAGCTCACTCATGATTGGTCCATTTGTAACACCTCATTTGCATACAGCTCATTCCTGATTGGTCCATTTCTATCACTCCTGATTGGTCCATTTCTAAAAAGCTCACTCTTGATTGGTCCACTTAGTTACACCTTATTTGCAAATGATGTTGCAAAGTCTAGACTGGTAGCCTATAAAATCCTGTGTAAACCTACAGATGGGGTCCAGAGCTTGGAGTGTTAACACCTCTGGGCCTGATGGTATAATCAAGTTGAGTTCTCCAGCCCTCTGAGTGCTGCTTGGTGTCTCGCCAGGATCCAGGCTGCTGTCACAACTGAGCTGTAACACACTTTGCTGTAACAAAGTGAACCCCATGGTTACAGAGGGTACACTCAGGGAAATTCTAGGAAAAAAGACTTACTGACTTCATTTTTAAAACACTTAGCCCCATTCTACAAAGTATTTCAGGCAAAAGAGAAGATGCTGACACTCTAGGCAAGTGAAGAAGTAATTAGTGATATTAACTGTGGCCTGCCCCCACAAACATGCTTTTTCTGCTTCATCAAATAAATCTTGAATATTTCAAACATGCTGAGAAGTGCAGAAAATAATACGATAAGTCCCCATGAATCCACAACCCAATGTTGGCAAATCAGAGCCATTTTCCAGATTTGCTTTAGATCGTTTTACCTTTTAATAAAATTACAGATGTAAATGAAGCCTCTTCAAGTTTTATTTTCTGCAGAATTTCCTTCCATGTTTCAAGTCTTCCAAAATAGGAGCAGGCTGACTAAATGGATCAGCCAAGGGCCCTACTTTTCAAGGCCCAGACGTATCTGACTGTTAAAACGGAGATAATCATTTCTTGCCATTGCAGAGAGCCATACAGTGGCAAAATTAAAAACTGTATAAAGATACTTCTGGAAATGATGTCATCAAAAACAAATGATAAGAGTACACCAGAAACTGACACAACATTGTAAACCGACTAGACTTCAACTAAAAAAAAAAAAAAAGATTACTGAGGAAACAAGTCTCCCTTTCTGAATATTTCTCAAAGGCCAGATTTATCAAAACCTTAGTGCTTACCTACCACAAAGAAATGGTACTTAATCCATGTCCAATAACAAGTTGGGTGACCATATATCCAGGATTTCAAATATTCTGGCCTGTCATTACTATACATAATGTATGTCATTCAGAGGTTCTTTTTTTAATACTTTATTTTTATTTATTATCATACTATTTTATTTTTTTTTGGCAAGGGGAGAAGTAGTTAGGTTTATTTATTTTTAATGGAGATACTGGGGACTGAACCCGACCTCGTGTGTGCTAAGCATGTGCTCTACCACTGAGCTATACGTTCCCCCACAAGAAGTCTCACTAGCTGGTTTCAATAATATGACTCAAAATGAAAAAGGTAGTCAGTGGCTAGAAGAACATAAAATCTTTTTCTTCCTGAGTGTATTCATAATTAGTTAAAAAAACCCAAAAACTTAGGCAGTCAGAAAGTGGCTCATAATGTCTCGCTGCTGCTGGTCAGAGGGAAAGAAAATGAGAAATAATTAGGGAATTGAACCCAAGTGCTACTTTTCACATTCCCAGTCTGATACCCCAGCTGCCTCACATGCATGTCTATGTATTGTGTGACCACACAAGGTGACACTAGCATTTCAGTAATGTTGGCAACAGCTGTTTTGTCTGGCACCATGACCCCAGTGGGGGACAAGTGGCAATAAAAATGATTAACAGGCCATGTCTTCATTTTCTAGGTCCTATGTGTCTTCATTTTTAAATCTGAGGAAGTCACTGTATTTTCATTAAGAACTAAAATGACTCTTTCCATGGACTCAGATAAATGGTTAGGTTCACTTTCTATGAAGATATGGTCATTCATGGCCTTTAGTCACTTTTGAGACCAAAGAGACTAAGGTTCTTTGCTGAAAGGAAAACAAGACAAAGAAAAAACCTTTGAGGTTCTGGAGGGGATGTTAAGAATATGAACTGGATTCCCATTGAGATACGATATGCATAAAGTCTCATGCAGAGTGTTCTAACAAGGAATCAAATGTTTTAATCAGACATTTTTGTCGTCCACTTTATCCAGCAATCCAAAACGTGTTTGGGGTCCTAACTTCTTTCAGAGGTGGTCCTGGCTAGAGGCTGAAATATTTACTTTGCACCTTGAGTCCTCATGCATAGTAAGTCAAGTTGGAGAGTGAGGACATAAAAGACTAGGGGTAGTGATAGATAATGGGGTACAGGTGCAGGAAGGCATTAGTCCCATGGTGTTTCAAGAGCATATACTTTCACCGTTAAAACTGCTCATCTGATCCCACCTGTAGCCCATCAGAAAGGAAGCACCAGGGTGAGCTGTAGGGAGACGGAATGACTTACATGTGATGAGAGTCTGTCTTAAGGAGAACATGGTGTCCGCTGGATTCAGGCAGGAATTGAATGTCTGGATTCAGGCATTGAAATGAAATGGGCTACTGTGAAAGCTGTGTCAGTTCCCCCGTTTTCTCTTGGCAAAGAGTCTATTCTTTGTCTACGCAAAGATTAAAAAGGACTGACTATACTTCGGTAAAACATTTTTAAAAAGGAGTGCTAAAATGACGTTACCTTTAGAATTATCCCCAGGAATAATAATTTCATCACATCAAAATAATCTAACCACTGAGACAAAAGACAGACATGCCTAAGACCTACAAAAGGAAGATGTGACCAGCTGATTATTTTCCTTCTGTGCATCTACGCTCATAAAAGCCATGCATCTCCAAAGCCTCTTCTGGCACGATTCTTCTCCCAGCTCCTTTCTGTTTATTGACTACAGCCAGCTCTTCCCCACCTCAGGCCCTTTGCACATGCTGCCCCTTCTGGTTGGAAAGTTCTTACTCTGGTTGGCTCCTTCTCAAGGAGGTGGTCCTTGAAAAGGTCATCTAGATGCTCGGAGATGCTGCCTGGGCCAGCTTTACTAGAGCAACAACGCTTCCTTCCAGATCACTCCCACATTATAGTTCATTCTCCTGTAGCACCTCCTGCGAGGCTGAGACTTTTGTCCATTGATGGACTTGCCTCCTAACCGTCACTGCTCCCTCGAAGTGATAGAGTGTAAGTTACTGATGGTAGAGAGCTTACTTTTAATTGTTTTGTTTGTCACTACGTTTTTTCAAACCACTGGGTGCTCAATGTTTGTAATAGTGATTAACACATGGTAGATGATCAATAAGTATTTGTTGAATAAATGAACTCAATTTCACTCCCGAAAAGTATGTACTCTTTTAACCATCCACACTGCTGTGTAACCACAACCTTCAGGACTGAGCAATGACTCATGCTTTAAAGGTCAAAGAAATTCTACACTGAAGTCAAAATGAAAACAGAGACAGCATAGTTGTACATGTTTTAAATCATATTGTTTTAGAAAAGAAGCCTAAATACCACTAGAGTCAGCTCCCCCAAATTCATGCTGCAGCGTCCTGCCCACACGTTACAATAGGTCGCTCTTCTAGGGATGCAAGAGTTGAGGGTTCTCCCTTCAAGAGGGCGTCACGTTGGCATTGAAAATGACTGCTGATGAAATAATATGTAAAATTTAGGATACAAGATTAGCATAAAATACAGGATACAGGATTTAAGATGCAGGATAAGCATAAAAGGCAACAAAATCCTGAAAATCACGGAGACATAATGAAACCTCAACACTGAACCTTTTCCAGATCTCAGGCATCC